TTGGCAGTCGGGGTCTTTTTCCAGAGCGGTGTTGATCCAGTTCACAAAGGCAAATCGCTCCTCCTCTGTGAGGGTGAACACACAGAGGCGTCAGTTAAACGCAAAAACACGGACAGTATTTCGTAGTCAAATGTTTGAGAAGAAGGGGACAATGTCCTACCAGAGAACGAGTGTTGTGTGCCTTCACTTGACTGCACAGACGTCCCTCCGATAGCCAGGATGCCTTCTTTTCTGTTGATGGCCTTGCGGAAAGTTTTTGCTATTTCACTGCCCTTCAGGTCTTGTACGATCTAAGACGAAAGAAGAAAAAGAATACTCAGAGACCAGCGACCACCATGACAACAACGGTATGAAATACTAAAGAGATACATTAAGTTTATTTACATTATGATAGTGGATCAAAGAAAAAGAGTGTTGCAGTCCAGCACAGCCCCACCATAACTTTGAATTAGTTTGAGATCATAAAAGACTTCATGGCAGAACAGTTGTATACAATTGCAAGAGATTGTATTGGTTCTGCAGTAACCAGATCAATCAATTGCATGTTGTGTTATTACGGCATGATTTGAAACACTTTTCACAGATCACAACAATTCCTCAAATAAAATGTCGGCTTTATATAAAATGTATTAAATTACAGAGCCGGGCAATGGGGGTTTTATTCTCAGTCAAAATAAATCCAAAAATTGTGGATATTTGAGATAGTACAAAGCTGCTGGCTAAAGGGCTGAGAAAATAAAGTGAACATCAGTCCTAGTAAGTGAGTTTCTCGACAATATAACTGAATCAATTAAACATAGCAGGTCCAGGAAGACGTTGGGTTTAATGGTTCATAAAAGCAACTGATGCTGTGTTGTGCATTTAAGAACACAGTAGGGATTTAAAGTGAGACCTTCACTGCACTAATCTAAGTATTACAGTGCCAGCATGTCATTATCACCAGTAACCGTAAACTGCCAGGGTGCGCTGTAATTATCCTCCACACTGACAACACCCTCGGGCTCCTTACAACATTACCTTAAATCCTTCTCAACAACTACTGAAGGTAGCATAGAGAGCTCTGTGTTTGAGTTCCTACACCACTGTATGTAGCTAGTCACTGCTTTGACCATACACATTCTATGGTAATACGAGCGGTGCTTCCTGAACCTGGACTTATCGCTGCTTCATCAGTGACCTCAGCCCCACAGGCCCTGCTGTGACCACAATGAGCCATTCAGACTGTGAGCACGCTACCACAAACATGCAGGAGGTCACAGTGTGCCAGCTTGCAATTTTTGGCCACTTTTGGTAAAAGCTGGAACCAAAACAAGACAGTCACTCATGACCTTGTAAAGACTGTAAGAGTTTCCATTTGATTCTGCAAGTTAGGAAACCACTTTGGGAGGTACAGAGGATATTCAAGTTGCCCTACATGCATTTATTCTGGGTTGCTATCATCCATAACGATGTTGGAACGGGGGGTTTGAGGAGCACACACACACCTTAACAACACAATGCTGTCAAGTAGCTAACTGGAAAGTCCCAGATGTCTTCCCTTCCCTCAGGCACATGAACACAGCATGAACATCCCAGTTTTGCATAATCCCAAAAATCAACTGATCAATCAGGTGGACCCAGAGGGATTATCTGCATACAATGGTGTTACTTTTTGACATCTCTTTCTAAAGGACAGACAAAACCCCTACCAAATTTGTTAAGAGTTGTTTGATTTCAGAAAGTAACCAGCAAAAGCTTTATTAATGTGTCTGATACCTTCTAATATATCACTCTTTATAATAAAATATTTTTATTTTGGTGAATTCAATTCAATTTCATTTATAATATGTTGCATTTTCCTGGAAAACTATTTATAGCCTCGTACAAAAATAACCCCTCTCACATATGAGCCATTAGAAGTGTTTGGTTGTGTTTGTATCCACACCCTGCAGCCATTAGCCTGCATCTTATTTATCCTTCTTGTTTAGCAGTATCCGGGATGTTTCTGGCCTTGACAAAGATACGTTGCAGCCCGTTCTCATCCCCAGGTCAAAATAAAGCTGCTTTGTTTCGCCCCTCATACACCTTTTGGCATGTTTACCTAGCAGCTTAGAAGAGGTTGTTTTTGCTTACGCCGCTCCCTCTCAACATTCACACTCACCGACCACTGCCGCTCTCTGTCTTGCTTACTCATTGAAGTAAGGAGGAGGGGCCTACATTAAATGCTGTGTATTCACAAACAGCAACTAACAATGCTGCTACCCACTTTACATTTCTGTTGTTCTTTTAATTGGCTGCTTTTCTTTAATGGTTGGCTACACCTACAAAAGTACACAGAGGAACTCGTCACGAAACCATTTTTACATCCAGGTGGAGTCGCAGGTATTCGGTCACATCGCAGTTTGATGGCCCAATTTGATTGGATTAAATCATGGTGGGGGTTAAACAGCCATATACCCTAAAACAGGATGCTCTAAGTATCAGAAGAAAGTCAAAACACAGCTGTCAAAGGTTTGGGTCGACCTTCATGATCCTAAATCACGCTGCACTCCTGTACGAGAAGCTTCCTCATCACTGCTGAAACAAAATACTAGAGCTCACACCACTTTGCTGACATCACTTCCTCATTCCCTGAGTATGCATGAGGTTTGTTAAAAAAGGTCTTTCAACTCCCTGTATGGAGCTGCTAAAAGTTGTTTTGCGTAGTGACCCCACCCAGGAGTCGGGCGAAGTGCTTTTAGGCAGAACAGAAAACAAAGGGCAACTCCATGGAGTGAGAAAAGCTCTAAAGAGAAGGCGAAAATGTGTCAGGCTCGACACAACAAAGAACAACAAACACCGCTTTACGTACCGACAGAAACTCCTCGAAGCTGATCTTGTTATCGTTGTTGCGATCGAGTTTCTGGATGATCTCTCGGACCATGTATCCAGGTAGGGCATGGCCGGAATCTTTGAGGAGTTCATGGAGTTCATAATCACAGATATATCCATTGTCATCCAGATCTACAGAAACACACATAAGAGCATCAGACACCGGGACACAATGGCAGGAAAATACATCATACGGTCATGGTAACATGTTTTTTTACTCACCAACTTTCTTGAAGGTCTCCCTCATCTCCTCCATCTCCTCCTTTGTTATTTTTCCAGTCATGTTTCTGTGATTGACCTAAGGTGGTCAGTCAGAGAAAGGTGGGACTGCAGAGAGAAAAATAGCTCAGAGTTAACAACAGGGTCTCAAAAGATGATTTTAAAAGAATTTAAGAGGAACCCCAACTTTATCAGCCTCCTATTAACCGGCCTACTCGCTGTTCCGCCAGTCTTACAGGCAGTTCTCAACTCTTCTGCCACCTACAGAGAAGTGACCTTACAGTAACTCCCCAGGAAGAACAAAAGTCCCTCCCCTTCGTCTGTCAGGTCAAAGAAACTCTTAATGCCCACAGATCCCCGCCCCTACTGATCATATCTACCGTTTTCTATAGTTTCTTTTTTGAGCTCTGTTCCTTTTCCAAGCAGTTCTTTCTCCCATAATCAAAGTCATTTCCTGTTCCATTGTGTAGCAATATGTCCACGCGCTATGCAAAACTGCCAGAGAAACTGAGACTAATGCATCTTTTGATGATTTACACAACCCATGTCCTCCTAATCCTTTAAAAACTGAGCATTTTCTACTATAAGTTGTTGCCTTATTGTGGTTGAATATTGTCATGTAAACTGAGTTGGATGGGGAAAACGATAACATGTGACAACATAACATTTAGACTATTTATGAGGCTTCTGTCAGGGCTGTTAAGAGCTTGATGCTGTTTTACCATACATCTTTTTTGGTTATTTAACTTTTTAGCAGAGAAAAAGCGTCCTCACCGAGCAGAAATATTCTTTAATGTGTGCAGACGACTATAGCCAGCGAGAGTCAATCTCAGTTATTTTTCTAGCTTAAAACAACAGTGTTCCTGAACTCCTCTGAGGCAAAGCAGCCATCTGAAAATGACTGAAAATAAAGGAATTCCTCAGAGTACCTCCTTTCCGTCCTGTAGTGGCAGAGGAATGCACATTGAGGCCTGGGCAGATCGAGCTTCACTTAATGTACACTTAGGTGAGCAGGGTGTGTTACCTCGCTCACCAAGGCTAAACTGGTATGATGACATTCCTCTCTAACACAAGTGTTCGGAAAACAAAGATGAGGTTTATACTGTGGTGAACTAAGAATCAGGGATTTTTCCAGACAGAAAAGTGTGCCCATTTCCTGATTAAAAGTACAGATTGGTAATTTGCACAGTGTGTGAGTCAGGACTCCTGGGCAAGTTCATTTCCACAGTGATACATGTCTAGAAATGAGGGAAATAGTTCAATGTGAAGTTAGTCAAGTGAATGGAATCTATTAGGTTGTTAAACAGTAAAATATAAGCCTGATTTTGTGAATTTGTTATAGTTCCAACCCCCCTTGTCCTTCTGTGGCTGCAGCCGCCTCACAGGCTCACATTCAGGCAGACTAACAATGAACAAAGGTCCAGTGACCCGTGCATCCTCTTTCATGAATGAAACTATTAATAGTGTACATGAAAGATGATTCAACAGCAGCCATGTGGTCTTCAAGATGCGACTCAGTTTCCATAATGATTTTCTTACAAATAAAACTAAGAGATGGAGTAACCCGACACCATCATAGTTAGCAACATTTCCAAGGCAAAATGTGTAACTTTAAAATCAGCAGCAGGACAAACACAGACTCTTTTAAATGCCAGTCCATGAATCACAGAGAACAGGGTGTTTTTCTTCTAAAAAAGTAATACAAAGTCGGGGAAAGCACAAACTCCTGACTTAACGATTAGGAAAATGACGATGCCAGTATTTCTATATTTAACTTTTTCTCCAAAAAGGACGTGAAATGTGGCTGCTGAAGTCAGCCCAGCTACAATAAGGGCAGACAAACAATCCCTCCTCTGCCAGCCCTCGTCACACCCTCGACAGAGGGAGAGTGAAAACAGAAGAGGGGTTAAGTACATGGAGAAAGGGCACAGATGGCAACGGACAAATGTGAGACGTATCGCTGGTGGTACAGAAGAATGGAGTGTTTGTAAGCACCGCCACAAACCACGGCAATAAATCCTGTGTGACAGCAGAAAATGAGTTCAGAGCACCAGGCTCCGAAGACAGTTGCTGTGTCTTTGACAGCTGGAGTGTGCGCTGCCGAGAAGAGACTCCTACGAGGCAGCAAGCTCCTAAATGGACTGGCTCCTGTTGGCCTAAAAGCATATCAATACTCCTGACAGAGTTCAGACACAATATTGTAATGTCTGTGCTGAGCTGCAGAGCCAGGGGTTTTAATACATCAGAATGACTCTGGTATACTTTTGAATAATAAAGGATTGCAACTCAAGATTATGAGGGTTCAAATTACCCCCAAAATATATCCACTGGAACAAACAATGCAACTAACCTACACACTTGGATGAGTAGGTTCACACAGTTGAGTTTTCCTTTTGACATTTCATTTTGACAGTTTTCACAATTTTTTTATGTTTTATAGAGCAATTGTTTAATAAAAAAAACAACCAGCAGATTAAGCGATAATGCCGTCAATTACAGAACTAGTTTACAGTCATCCAGGTCATGTGATTTCAAGCTGTAGCTAAATAAAGCTCTTCCAAATATCTTGCTATTGTTTAACAACTAGATTTCACACACACACGCTAGTATTTATTGACAAGCACCCGTTTTATTTGTGGAGCCATACAAAGCACATTGACGCTGTTTACGGTCGCCTTTGATGGATCTTACAGTCAGTTTAAAGCGGAGGGTTGTTCCCAGATGTCGGAGTTAAATGTGTGGAGCCGACACACCCCGTCCTGCAGTGTTTCATCCACACAGTAACATGGGAAATGTGAGGCACACGCAAATAGATTGGGCACATTTCCCAAGTGTGGTCAAGCTCATATGCAACACACCCAACACAGTCTGCAAGAACATTTTTTCTCGCAATTGGCCGCAGATGTGAGTCAAACTAACTGACTCATAAACACCAAACCGTCTGTGACGCCAGCCCTTCATTTCCTTCTCAGGCTAGTGTGGATTAGATAAGCCCTGCAGACAGGTGAGGAGGAGGTGACGACAACAAATACAGTATGCAAAGTTTACATAGCTCTGACATCACGCGCAGCTGTAAACACATCATCCTGGGCGGGGATTAGAGGTATCATAAATAAACTAGGATAGGATGAAATGTGGTGGAAATATTCAGATGAACAGTTCCCTTTACAATATCCCTAAACGTGAGCAGCTAGTGTTTACAACTTGCTTTCTTTAGACGATTAATTTCCCCAAATCAAAGGATTGTAGGTGCAGTAAAGGATGCATCAGGTGAAAGAGACCTGTGCCAGCAAAGGTTTAAACACAGAAATATCCACTAACCATCACTTAGGAATGTCATTAGACAGGCTACAGAGGTGCTGCTGAATCAGATGGGTTGGAGTGTTACTGCTACACGTAAACAGCCACACCTACAAGGGTTTGCCATGACTCAACAAAAGCACTGTAAAGCGTTATCCTTTAAATATAGTTGATCAGCTAGTACAGGGCACAGTTAGAGTTTAATACCATCCATTACTCACGCAAGGAACGTGTGCCATAGAGTAACACACTGTTGTAGTAGTAGAAGTACAGTTTATGTATTCTACAGTACTTCCCACTCACTCCTTTTTGCAGTGCTTCCCTAAAAGAAGGTTCTGTTTTTTTATTTTTTATTAAAGAGATTCATCTTTGTATAGATCCCCATTATATATATA